TAAAAGCTGAAGTAAAGCTATTTTTTGCAACTGACTAATGGTGATTTGGTCAATGCTGATGGTGTTCAAGTGGTGCTCCAGATGTTTTGTAATCACACCCAAGGTGCCTATTACTGTGGTTACTATCTTTGTTTTCTTTTGCCACAGTCATTCTATTTCTATCTGCGGGTCTTTGTATTTTGTTATTGTTTCTTGTTCTTTCTCGTCTGTTCTGCTGTTTCCAGGTTTGCAATGTTCACAATCCAGATTTTTTTTTGTCTTTCTTACAATTAAAATTAATTTATTATTATGGTTTTATTATTATGGTTGGTTTCACAGTCAGCCAGAATTTTAGATTGTATCTGGCATTTTTATCCACTGATTGAGCCCTTCCAAATATTTTTGTTTAATAATATTAAAGGTATCCTAGTAAGTAAACTTTTCCAGTGAAAGCTGCCTTTTGCAAATGATGGATTGTGATTGTATGAATGATGATGGTATTATTATTAGTGTCCAGCAGAAACATACAGGAGGGACTAAAAGTCAGACCCCATAGATCAATCACAATATGTTTTATTAATTTTTTCAGAGAAAATGTTACTCTATTTAGCAATGTTGAAAAGTGATGTGTCAGACAAATAAGGAAGTGTTTAGAAGAAAATGGCACCAATTTCAATATTAATTGCAATTTATATAATTAATTATCTACAGGTGCTGTTTTTTAGTACAATACAACCTGACATTTTTGAGTGGGATTCTTTATTGAAAGATAACTAATATCAGAATTTGATTATGACTTAAAGCATGTTAAGATTAATATCTGATTCAGTTTGAAGGTTCAGTTTGGAAACTAATGTAAGTTATAAATCAGGTAATTAAATACACTAGAGCTCTACTATATATATGTGATTTTATGGGAAAATGTACTCTATTAGACATCTCTTATTTATAATTTTCTCTGCTCCCCATTTTGTGGCTTCGTCCATTTTTCTCTACTACAAAGAATTTAGTTAGTGCCACCAACTATTATTTTTGAGTTGATAGCTATTTTCCTAAATTTCTCAAAAGAAGTAAAACTGGACTATACCTGTTAGTGTTAAAGTTTTCAAAGCCAAATATATCCAGGAGCCCAATGGATTTGCACATATTTTTCTCATCTGGAGAAGGATTACGAATTGCATCATTGATTTTATTCACTATCCAGATGAAGAGGAATCCATAGATCCCCTAGGTTTAGAAAAGGAATAAAGAAAAGTTAGGATTTTTATATAGTTTATTAAAATGTACATTCATACACTAAACACGTAGAGCTTAAAAATATATTACACAGCTATCAAATAAAAGCTTATTCATGCATGCAATAGATACACTAGGAGAACCAATCAGGTTCAGAAACTTCTGTCACAGCAATGATACAAAATTTGGTTACAATTCTAGAGATCGTCCTTTTAGAAGCACATGACTGTCATATGAGCAGGCAAAAAAGTTTCTAATTAGAGGTGACATTAACTCTGCCATTTCAAAATGGCAGATAGGACACTTATCATTTATATATTTATAACATTTATAGGTCGCTCATCTTACCTCAAGGTGACTCTGGGCGGCTTATCCACAGCCACCCAAAGTTTTTTATATAAGAACTGAATAATAGAGAGGGCAAGATGCATTCCTGTTTAACTTTCTTATTAGTTAGAATAGAGTCAGGTCAATTTTCCACCATTTGACCTGCATTGCAGCCCCTTCATGCAACATTATACAGGTAGTTCTTGCTTAACAACAGTAGCTGGAACTGGCAATTCTATCACTAAGTGACGTGGCCATAAAGCACATTGACTGCACTGACTTATGACAGCAATCATGGCAGTTCTGGTTGCTATTGTTAAGTGAGTTATTAAGCATAATGTCATGTGGTTGTCATTTCAACCTCCTACTGACTTCCCCATTGACTTTACTCCTCAGAAGCTGGCAGTGAAGATTAGAAATGGCGATCACATGACTGTGGGACACTGAGATGGCCACATCTACAAGGACCAGGTGTAAGTGTTCTTGTTCAATTTTGAACACTCACTGAATGATTATTACATGAGGAATTATCTGTAAGTAGTTACAAAAGCCAGAAATTGATGGAGAAGCTGCTAGTTTTTGTCACAATCTCTCATGAGGAATTAAATGAAATGTTGCTATGAAAACAGCATAAAGAGCATCTCCAGGAGGGATACATTAGTATATAACACAAAGAGATGGAAGGGTGTGATACATTAATCAGAATGAGATTTTCTGCAGTAAATAGTTCCACTAACTTCAAGAAAATGGCAGAAGCTAAGCAGGGACAACTGAATCCCTTTCTTTTGGTCTACATAGCTCTGAAGCATGAGGCTATTTGAGGCACATTATTTTAACAGATCAAACAGAAGTATAAGAATCACATATATAATGACACTAAGGAGTCCTGTATATCCCTGAATATTTATTAATTGGTGATATTAACAAATTTTTATAACCATAATCTATTTCATCACATGAAGGTTAATATGAGAACAGCACTGTTCCCTTGTGTTTATACAACATTTGAAGAGCAGTAGTTGGGTGAAATAAGTCTTGACAAACATGAGTGTCTTGTTGTAACAGAATATTTTGGTTTTCTATCTTTAAGCTTTGAAAACAAACATATTCTTGCAAAACATTGAAAAAACAGGGCTGATCTCTTTTACCTTGACAAAGGCATCTCTCACATCGGCTGCTTGAGTCACACTTAGGGGTGTAGAGACACTTTCCCCTCGGATGATAATGGAATGGTTTGTAAGGCTCTTGTGGAGTTCTCTGGAATCCACCTGTGGGAATTGATATTGTACTGGATGATTTTATATAGACACAAAAGATTTATCAAAGAAGAATAGAGCTTTATCTAATGAAGGAATAGAGAAATTTATTAATGGGACACAGAAACAATACCATTTCTCAGTCAAACTTACTGCAAAAGATTATTTGCAAGAATAAACTGAGAAGGGACTGTTTTAAATTCCTTGGAGTAATTGTAATAAATATAATAAATAAAGCCAATACCTCTAGTAGTTTGGTTGCAGTGGAAAAATGTACAGAATCAAGAATATGAGAGCAGTCCAAATTTTCACATACAACACCTAATTGTAGAAAAACAGTAAGTCTTATTTAAAATAAGTAAAAAATGCAGCATTTGTTTGTTTTATTTCATTCAGGAGGAAGTTGTTTGGCTAAAGTAAAGTTTCTAGTTTCTGGAAAACATTATATTGTTATCCTGTTCAATAATATTATACATTATCCTGACCTGAAATTGGAAGTTGTTCTTAGGTTTTTTTAATATAAAATTAACACATTTAAATGTGGCAGTTAGTTAAATAATGGCACAACATTATGACACAGAGAATTTTCTGAAAAACATCTTCCCTCAAACACTGTTTAAAGACAATCACATCTTTAAGAGGTTCAGATATGAAAGAGTTAAAGGAAAAAGCTAAATCTGATCTATCAATCAAATTGAATTTGTCAATTTATGTTACATGTCAAGTCAAGGAAAACCAAAAGTAAAAAGCCACTGAAGAAACTGAAAAAATTCCTCCCACAGGTGAGCTTTTAAAAGGCAAAAACTGCTCCATGTTCTTTTATTTGATAGGAAGAAGGGCATCTTTTCCTAGATGGGATCCAGGATAAGTAAGCAAAGAAACCTAATCTGGAAGAGGATTGGAGAACCAAGAAAAATGTAGCAATGAAGGGAAAAATGAAAATAGATACAGATCAGGATTTTTAAAATTTGTTTTATCTTTGCTGCGCATTTGATTCTCTTGTTTCTATGTGTGAACCTGGCAAAGGAAGCAGTAACTGAGAGAAACCATATCAAATTGGTATTTAGGATGTTTCTTTTCCTTTATCCCTTTGTCCGGTTAATTCTCTACCCATAATATACATAATAAAAGCTTGATTTTCTGAAAGGGCTTTAATTTCTTTTGCTCAGCTCAGCTAAGCTACAACAGAGAAGTCAGAAGAGCTGTATTACTTTCTTCCCCATAAGCAAACTCAGCAGTGTACCAAAAAAGTTTTCTGTAAGAGTATAGGAAGGATGTAGGGGAAATCTCATCCCAGTTCCTCAGAACTTCCTCCTTCTTATGAATTCAAAGTGCCCCTGAACCTTGAAATCATCCTATCCTTCCTAATCCTAATTAATCTGTTCCCATATACAGTACAATGGCTGGTGTATTAGCAATTTTTTATCACACTAGGAAATCAAGAGCACTGAGAAAAAGAAGAAAAGATGGGGGAAATGGTTGGCTGATACTTCTTTGTGCTTCCCTACTGGACAGCTGAAAAGGACAGTGGTCTACTCAAGTAACTCAGGAGGAAGGTGAGGTCACTGTGTAGTAAAACTGTGAAGGTTTGAGAAAGAAAACATTAGTTGCGTGAAAATGTCCCATATGTTTGCAAATATACACATGTACTAGGCTTACCTTCAAATGTTACATTTCCTAGATGCAAAATGGCTGCCAGAAATTTGCTTATGTTCCACTGCTCAGAATCAGAGAACATGAGAATTTTCATAGCTGAGCATATATGAGCATATTCCGTGGCATCATTACGACCTTCACAGAAAGTACATTTGCCCTGCAAATCAGCATAGAATAATGCAAGGCATCTCTTTCAAATACAACAGTATGCATAATATAAAGATAAAGGATTCCCTGTCTTGTCATGTCAGATTCTAGGGGGCAATGACCATCTCTGTTTCTCAACCAAGAGAATCAGCGTTGTCCAAAAACATTTCCTGTGGTTGTGTGGCCAGCATGACTACATGCCGAGGTGTCACTGAATTGTCACTGAATGAGTAGTTGATAAGCAAGGACTATCTATAAATAACTTATCTTTTTCCCCTTCACAAAATAATGTTAAAAGTCCTTTTAAAAAAACATCGGAGCACAGCTACACAATTTTGGTGTAATGTTTAGGACCTTAGAAAGTGCCATTCTATACATACATAGAAAGTCACATATCCAGCTCTTGATTCCTTACCATAGTTAGGTAAGTATACTCTGAAGTAGTGCCAAGATTCAATCTTTTTTTCTGTTCCAGATTCATCCCCATTAACATGCAATAAAATATGTGATAGTTTCTTTCTTCAGGAGCCTAAAACAATAGAAAGACCACAAAGATATTACTAACAGCAGAAACAGAAAAGCTGTCACAATGAAATAGTATTTCTTAATATATACATCTCTTTACCTGGCGACACACTCGAGACTTCTCCAGAAGGAACTGTTCTATTCGAGCTCCTTCTATTATACCATTTTGGTTGAAGTGAATGTCAATGTATTTCCCAAAGCGGCTTGAGTTATCATTTCGAATTGTTTTAGCATTACCAAATGCTACAAGAGATGAGAGAATATTGTGAAGCAAAATTAGAAAAATGTAACCTATGTAACAATGCTGAGGCTCAGAGGATAGAGATCCCCAACATCCTTTCCCAGAAGCACTCATGCCCTGGTCCCTCCTCCTGTTTTGGGATAGTAGCTTGTTAGTTCCTGCTACCACCACCATAGACACCTGATGTCTATGTCCTGAACCCGGCAGGCAAAAGATATAGGGATTTCACAATTTGTGCCCCCTCTCTGATATTTAAAAATGTAAAAGTCAAAATAGTTTCCAATAGTACCAACTCCTGCCAATGTAGCATACAGCCATGATAATTAGAGGCTTCAGCTCTTCTTTCCATTCAGCACTTTGAAAATAAAACTAATTTAACAGGAGATCAACAGAATCAAACTTTTTTTTAATAAAAATAAAAATATAACCTCCTTTTTAACTTTAAAAATTAAAATGCAGTTTTCTTCTATGGTATGGAAGAAGATAAGCAGAGGGCTTCCCAGATCATTAATTAATTAAAGAAAGTAATCTCCAAAAAGACTGAAGAGGGATTCACAGAAAGATTCTAAAGGAAAAATTGTATTTTCATTAATGTAGTCTGATATATGAATAAAGACTGACATTAAAACCCAGTTCAATAATTCGCACAGAGAAAGTTAGTGAAACACAGAAAAAAAGAAATCAAATCCTAGTACAAATTCCTGGTTACACATGTATATTTCTACATTTCTACTCTGAAATAAATGGTGTTCTGCTTTAATTTTCTGCATTTAATCAGAAACTGTACAGGACAGTTGAAGTCCTATTCCTTTGCCAAGCCTTTCTCAATGGAAATCTTCATTTGCTTTTAAAAGACAAAAACTATCTCTAGTAGAAGGAGGGACTGGGGTAATCCAACTTCAAGAGCCATTGTTACTCATGGCTTGTGGATTGTGGGTTAGTAGTCTGGCATGCAAATGACATTTACTACAACTGTTTGAAGTAATTTAAAATACTGAGAATTTTTCTTTATAAAGCATTGTTAGCAACAAAAAAACACAATTGATTTTCTGCTATAAGAAGAACTGCAATTAGATTTCCACTTTAGTACTAAAGAATGTCCTTATCAACATGCAATGTTCAAACACGTTGCAAAATATTTCTGTATTTGAAAATCTAAACCAGAGGAGCAGAATTTCTAGTAGAGCGAGGGCCACAGGGAACATACAGAAAAAGTGGGAGGGATCATCAAGTAAAAAAATTACACATATGCACCCATGCAGGCATACAAATACAGAACTTTTAAGCATTGTAAAGTAAGGAAGATGGCTTTGATAGAAGTATGCAAGAACCATTACCTAGGCAAAAAGGGCTCACAATGTGATAACATTTGAAAACAACTCAGACAGATACCTCTCTAATTCACTGGAGTATAAGGTGTGGGAAGTAAAGCATAGACTTGCAATTCTGTTTTTATAGCCAATCTCAGTAAAAGAAGTTTTAGTCCTTATGTGGATTTGATTTCCTGATCTGGTCTACCTAGTGTAAGGCTGACAAATATATACACATATAATACTTTCCATGCTTCCCACGGTATGTTAGTATTATTAGCAGTAGCAGATGTATTAATACTAATACTATTACAGAAGGAAGGAAAGCTGGATCTGAGATAAGGATTGGTAAGCAGAGAGCGACAGACAAAATAGCATAGAACGCTGGCAGAGGAGCACTGAATACTTTGCTGACATATCTGTAATGCAAGGATGGGCAGAGGGCGACTGATCCCTGGCTGATGGGGATGGGATAGATACGGAAAGGCTCGACCCAAAGCAGGAAGAGAGGCAGGGATATACAAAAGCACATTATGAGGTAAGCGATGATTTCTAGGATGGGGTGGTTCAAAAGTATTTTCAAGTACTTCCCTGATGGCTAGAATTTCTGACTTGAAATGCTCTAGAGGGAAAATCACCATCCTGCCCTTAAATATTCTAAATTTAACAATAACAAAAATAACTTCATCCTTGTTCCAAACAAAAGGAACTAGAACAACAGAGTCACTTTGTGGTGAGATGGCAACAAACAAACTAAATAATATAGAATAAATAAACAAAAACTGTCTGAAACTGACCATTTTATTCTTCCTCCTTTTGTGTGCTCCCCCCCTTTTTTTCTTAACCTGGTTCAAAAACTAGAAGATTGAAATGACTCTTTGATCGGGAAATGGAGCCATAGTGTCTTAAAACCAGACCAAACCAAACCAAACCACACCACACATCACAGTTTTACAGCATATTCAATTTAGAATAAATCAGCTCAGTCCTCCAACATTGTTGAAGTCTGGAGTTATTTCAAATTGGCAACAACAACAACAAAATCCTTGCAAGGAAGTGACCTTATACAATTGGGTTTCAAACTAGGGAATCCAGAGTCATCTTTTTTTTTAGGAAAATGAAATGTGCTATAAAAGTGAGAGTATTTTAAAAGGATGTAAAGCAAAGTTCTCAATATTTCGCCTTGCACACGTAGCCTACCTTCCAAAATGGGATTGGCTTCTAGAATCTGTTGCTCAATCCAGGAATGTTGACCACTAATAACAGCTAAGAACTGCAGCATTAATTTTGTGCTTTCAGTCTTCCCAGCTCCAGACTCTCCACTGGAATAAATTTTGTAAAACTGGTAAATCAGAAGTGTTAATCAAATAAATGTATTTATTCTTCCCACAATTCCCACTTTTTTTAAAAAAAAATATTGATTACATTTTTGAGAAAGAAAAGTTAATTTTATTTTCTGTTACAGCTGCATACTTCCAAAATAATTAACGTTTTGGTATATGTGGGAGTGAATCACAGAACTTTTGCTTAAATACCCACATCTTTTTCAGGCTTCCATACAAGTCATGTGAGGTAACTACTTTAAAGATGTGCTCTGCTTGCACTCCCAAGTATTCCCTAGTAACTTTTCAGAACCATTTACAAAGTGTCTATAATACTTCTACTTCTTTTCCTCCAAGCTGTTTAAATATTTTACAGTACTAACACATTTTTTCCATCACATTATATGCCCCTTACCTAATGACAGAGCATTGATCTTTCTTATTCCTCATCATGTTGAAATAACAATTATCAGCAATGGCAAAAACATGAGGAGGCACTTCCCCAATCCTCTTGTTGCAGTAAAGCTGAATTTGTTCCATGGTATACAGCGGCAGCACTTGATATGGATTGATGGCTACAAGAATAGAGCCTGTGTAGGTCTAAAAATGTTATGAATGCAAGAATAAATTGGAATAAATTAGTGATGAGCTTTCAAATGAAGTATCAACATCTATCTCAAAATAAGTTATTGATAGGGATATTTACAATGCCAAACAATATTCTTATCATCTTATTCCCCTTATAAATACATGAAATTATAGGTAACTATATTAGGAAAAGTAGAAACTGTAGAATGTAGAATGACTAAATATAAAGCTAAATCTAAACTAAATCACATTTCTTCAGAATAGTCAATATTTTTAGTAATAAAAATAATTATATTTTGAGTAATTAATGTATATGCTTTTATTATTATGTAGCAATGTCATTATAAATCTTATACTTTTATTGTTTATGTAAAAAGGATCTACATTTTTGTATACTTTTTGGAAGATTTGAATGAAGTGTGTGAAAGGCCTTGGAATATATCATATTTACAAAGTGTGTATACAGAAGATTTTTCCAAACATATTAGTCTGTAGACGTTTTGCTTGTTTTTAAAGCCATTTCTCTGTATATGATTTTATTTCTAAGCAATAGAAAGTATATAATTCTCTCATTAGAAAGAATTTTTAAAAGTGGGGCTTTGGAATCTGTACTTGACTACATATTATTAATGAAGAATCAGTCTTACATAGATTTTGTTCTCTTTGTAGCGGATATATAGGTTGTGTATCATGCCAGCTTCATTCATCTCTTCAAGATGTATCATATCTTCCACTCCTTGGATGGAGGCCGGATGCATTGGTCGCATTGTGCTAATGTTTTGAGCTTTGATCCAGTATTCCTTAAATACAAGTGCATTTAACTGTCTGGATTTCATATACTAGCTTAGTTTGCTCTTGAAAATAGTTCTTAAGATAATCTATATTCAGGCCATAGATAACATTAGTATGCTTATTGAAAATGCAGCAATTAAAAGCATTATACTATACAGGGTTCTGGTTTGTCCTATTACATTGCATAGCACTTGTTTAATTTTGGCTGTGAATCCCAAAGTTTTGTAAAATCCAAAGATTTGACTCTATATCTGAATTCAAAGTTATTTCTAGCTCTGGAATGCATAAGGGGCAAATATGAACAATGCTCCAACACACCATCTAAAGCTCTCATCAAAGTGTAATTTTTAAAAATAAAAGAGAAGAAAATTATTAATGCATAGGAAGTACTCCTATTCATCACTTTTAAATAAGTTGCATTATATTAATTAAAATACAAGCTTAGATTTACATTTTGACTTACATTTAGATTTACATTTACATTTTGACAGGAATCCCACTCACTTTTTAGAATTGAGCGTCAGAACATCCCACTAAAAGTTCAAGTGTTGAGCCTTTAATAATTACAGATCTATCCAGCCCTTTAATTGGATGCAAAAGTTCATATACAAAAATTGGATAGATGAACATGTTTATTAGCCTACCTTGCCTTCATCATCCTCCAGCAAGAATCGTCCTGAGTTAGATACCTTCACCACGGCCCCAATGGGCACATTAAACTCTTTGCCTGAATGGAATTCCAGCCATACATGATCACCCTAAGAGAAACAATAATTATAAAAGATTTTTTGCTTTTCCTTGTTCTGACTTATCTATTTTCTTTTTTGCTTTATATGCTGCCAAATCCAACAGATTCATGGTTTTCAATCAAAATGAAAGCAGCTGCACATATAAGTCATATATAAGGAACAAAAAATTAAATAAAGTAGTTTTATTCATGCACATTAAATTCTTAAGCTTTTATCAGGAGAATTTTGTAGCACTTCCAAAAGTTATTTAATAATAAAAGCTAATGTTAGTATTTCAAAGAGGGAACATACTATTCCAGCAATTCTTGTAGACAGAGAAGTGGAAAACTGACTAGAGAATAACAGAAGGCAAACACTGGATTCTCCAATGGTGTAGAGAAAAGCTGAAGTTTACTCTTTCTAGTCCATTGAGTTTCAGGAACTGGGTTTGAAAACAAACTCTTTGGAGACAAACTAATATTCAAAATAAAGCGCCTAACCAAACAAGTAAATTATTCTGGCAGAAGCTGTTTGAGGTTTCTTCTCCTAGTCTTATACAGATAGTCTTAAAGCTTCCAACTTCACCTGTGAACATATAAGCAACTCCTTAGTTGTGTAGTCTCTGACCTCTTCCTTTCCTCTGAGGATGACACTTTAGACTGACAAATCAAATATCTTCTGTGCCTGGGCAATGATTTGAGTCACAGCCAGGGCAGCGTAGAATGGTGGAGTGTTCTGATAAGGGTAATCCAGCAAATGCTTTCTCTGTAAGTTTCCCAGTGTTGTCCTCTGGTAGTTGTCAAATTCCTCATCCTTCTTCTCCAATGCCCACACCTGCTCCTTCCTCTCACCAGCCTTTCCGCTTAAGTTGTCAATGAGTCAATTTTAAGACTCATCTTAAATTCTAGTTCATGGCACTGGATGCATTGAAAGAACTTACTTTTCTACATCCCTTGCAGGTGCGCAGAATAGACAAGTAATGCTTTTCGGTATGATATGACATCTCTTTCATCAAGATGTTAGAGAAGAGCAGCCACGGCCTCACCATGAGCAATTCTCATCAATTTTACGATACGATGATTACTGGAATGTAATTTTGGCAATCATTTGTTCTTTCAATATGAATTTTTTGCAGCTTGTACAACAGAGTCAATATATGTGAAAAGATGAGAGTAACTATCTGCTTTGCTTGACTCTTGCCCCTTCTGACAGATTAAATCTGCCAGATTGTAAGGGAGGTTAAGGGAGGTGAACTTGCTTGAGGGTAGCATGTGATCCCTACCAGGTTATGACCTTTACTAAAAAAAGCCCTCCTTTGACTAGGAAGATTTTTGTAATTATAGATCAGTGTCAAAAATTCCAGGCATGAGTAAAATGATCAAGAAACTGGTGGTTTTGTAATTCCACATGCATTTGGATGAAATAGATTTTCTGAACCTAGTTCATTTGGAGTTTTATCCAGGTTATGTTACCGAGACTGCTTTTGATATACAATCCTTATGTTGTAGGCCATATTTGCCTGCTTGTTCGTAGCTTATTTGTTTTTGTTTACTCTTTTTAAAATTGTATTACATTTTTTTTCTCATTGTGATATTGTGAGATGCCCAGAATCATTCCAGAATCAGGCTGTGCCTAAATTGAATTAAATTAAATCTACACTGGAACGGGGGTTCCTACTAGTTCACCAGGCCCTCTTGGTCCTTTTTTTTAAATACCATCAATTATATCATCCTTCTGAGTCATCTGGTGGGGTTGGAACTTGGGGGACCTATTTTGTGGTGGTTACAGTCATTTCTGTTGGAACACAATGGCTTTCTCAATGAATTGTAGGAGAATGCAGCAGAAATTGTATGAAAACAAATTAGGTACTAATTATGGAAGCCAGAAAGACAAGTCACCACATACCAGGCATATAAGTGACTATGGATTATTCAGAGTTACCATCAATATTCGATGAGTTCAAGTTATTATTTAACTATGAGGAAGCAATCATGTCCTTGAATATCCCTCAATCTTGCTCATGAACTGGATGAAATATAAGGATTAAGCTTAAATTCAGACAAGGATGAGGCTGCACTCTCCACAAAAGAGAAAGCTTGTTATTTCAGAGAGGTTCTTGATCCCCAGATGTCACTGAATTTAAAGAGACAGCTGCGATGAAAAAGGAGTTTACACAGCTAAAACTACTGCACCAACACCAGCCCTCCTTGAGCCAGGCAGACTTGCTGAAAATTATTCATGCCTTGTTTCAATCATCTTCACTGCTGCAACACATTTTATGTGGGGTTATTTTTGGAAAATATATGTGAAATTGGTATAATATGGAGCAGAAAGGCTGCTAATCAAAGCAAGGTACAAGGAAAACATCATGTCTATAAAGAAAGAGGTACACTGAGTGCCCACTGCCTATTGAGCACAATTTAAGATGTTGGTACTGACCTTTAAAGCCTCAAATGGCTTAGCATGGGACCAGTCCTCTCTCTAGGAATTACCCAATTACTTAGATCAGCAGGAGAGGCTATTTTGAAGATGCCCCCGACAGAAGCTTTTTGCTATGCAGGGTATGAAAAACATACTTCTTGGGGAGAGGTGCTTGGGCCCTCACTTCCAATATTTAGGTAAATGACCAAAACATATTTTCTTCATCAAGTTTTTAACTGTACATTGAATTTAAAGGTATTTATTGTAATTCTGACTTTACTGTTTTTTTATTTTGTAAACCAAATTAAAAAGCAAACACTTTTATAAACAAACAGTGGAGTATTACATTTAAAATTATATATTTTGTAAAAGGGAGGATCAGTATAGGTAACATTTGTTTTAAACCCAAATATTTAATAGTCTAACTTAGGTTAACAAGATATCACTATTTAGCTCACAAGTGGGAGAAAGTTCTAAAAACTGAAAGCAATATAAAGGTTCAAACAGGAGAATAATGTTCTTTTTCTGTGCTGGATTAATTGTTCTGGAAACTCTTTGTCCAATCAGGCAGCTGCGCCACAGTGTGCTATTTTTAAAAAGATTTTCTAGTCTTCAGGATAGTACTTCTGGAGAGCTACTGGATGAAGGGGGAAGGGAAAGGCCTACCTTCAAGAAATACAGTTAGTCCTCCACTTACAACCATTCATTTAGTGACCATCTGAAGTTACAACAGCATTGAAAAAAGTGACTAATGAACATTTTTCACATTTTAAAATCATTGCAGCATCCCCGGGGTCACTAAAACTAAAATTTGGATGATTGGCCACTGGCATATATTTATGAGGGTTGCAGCATCCCGCGTTCATGTGATCCCCTTTTGAGACCTGAGAGGCAAAGTCAATTTACTTAACAACGGTGGCGAGAAAGGTCATAAAATGGAGGTAAAGCTCACATAACAACTGTCTTGCTTAGTGATGGAAATTTTGGGCTCAGTTGTAGTTATAGGTCAAGGACTACCTATACATGTGACCTGAGTCTCAACTTCTTGTCAAGCCTAGTTTATATTTCAAACAGCATATTATTCAATGTCATACGAATGCAAATGTATATAGACTTACAGTTTGAAGTACAACCATCTTGTTTAAACAAGGTGATTATTTGCAGCCTGTTGGGGGAAAAACAAGGGATAGGGGTAAGAAATACAATAGAAGGATAAAATATTTTAGCAAAAAACATGAACAAGAATCTGGAATCCATGAGTAAGTTATACGTTTAGAGATAGGACTAGTATGTATTTTTCCTAAGAAAGACCAGAGAGTGCTAGACGACCTGAAATAATGCCTGGGAAATTTATATAAATGAAAATTATTTTCCCCAAATCTAAATTATGTCATGTAACTAGATCAGATTGAAATAAGTTGATTTATCCTCTGTTTTAAAAGCAACTTGAGTCAAAAGTCAGATATTGCAAGTCCTTCTGAAACAGCTGACTGAAGGACTCTTGAACACTTTATTGACACCAATTCCTGGAGGTTCACTGAGTAGAATATTGGAACGGGAAGACAACATTTCAAATTTTTTTTGCTAAATTATAACATCTTTGGATGATTTGCAGCACGTCTTTCTTTCTTTCACTTCCATTCGAGAAATATAATAATAAACATGGAGAAAGATGACATGTTTTATTAAAACATTTAAGGCAATTCAACACTCTTGTACAGCCTAAGTTGCTTGCCTCCTGTGCAGCTCTCACCTGTTCCTTATGCCAACTTCAGAAGTTCCAGTCCAGATTGTAATGGTTGGCAATGGGACCAGGCTGGTGCTTAGTCCAAATTATAGTCATTGCAAGGTCAATTGGTTGCTTCTCTGCTTCTTGCTCTTCCCAGCTTGGCAGGAAAAGCAAACTTTGCAGGCAGTTCTTGTGTGAACTGATCTACCAATGCCTGTCTTTCCTTTTAGAGATTGTTAATTCACTAGTCCCTGTGCTATTTGTTTGCTTTCTCAGATGTTTGCACACATGAATGTCTTCACTCATCCCTTCCGCATTATCTCTATTGACTCTACTAAAACTACAGTCTGGTGGGTTGTTGTTTTTTTGTTTTGCCTTTTGGTACCATCATAATTCTGAAACAACATCCAAAGCAACAGGGGACAGTTGTTGTTTTGTTTGTTTTGTTTTTATATTTCTCTGTAGCACTTTAGAAAGTTTGTAGCAAGGAAGAATTCTTCATAGAAATAAAGTATTACTGTTCCTATATTGCAACTTAAAGATGCTTTTAGAAAACAAAGAAAGAGAAAGGGAAGCTTTGCAGTACAGTGGGCAAGGGGTGGGAGAGCGCAGGGAGCATTCTTTACTCACTTATTCTGTCTCTTTACTAGGCAGAAACATAAAGGGAAATGCAAGGGGTGAATGGAATATGAGCTTCTGGGATAAAGGGCAGAGTACTGACTGTTATTGACCAGCAGAGAACATTACAGCCAAACAATCTAGAACAAAATGGCTGCCCAGGGCAGAAACCAGCCACTACAAATGAAGAAACATGCCAAACTCTGGGGCCAGATGGAGTTGGGGTGCTCCTAAAAGAAATGAAGTGCTGGAGACTGTCTCCTCTGAAGGACTTCAGGTATATCAGATCAGAAAACAGCAGTTCTGAAACATAGCTTGAAAGCATGGGTGTGGTATGCATTTGCATTCATCCATTCCTGCATTGAGGAAGTGGCCAGTTGCTCGTCCGCAATTAGCCAAGAAGACAGTACAGATCTGCCCTTCATGAAATACAAGGAGAAACCTTACAACAGCAGAGAGAAGAAATCTACTTTCTAGTGCCATCTATTCTCCAGATGTTATTTGTTCAGTGCCATCTATTCCTTTTCAAGAAGCAAAATATTCGTTTAAGAAGTATTATATACTACTCTCCGATATTTGCTCTGTGCAACAAAAATGCAAAATTATTTGATTTCTACACTCCCCAAAATATTTTAATTATATCCTTATCAAATGTTATTTTTATATGATAAAGATTATTATGAGCAACATAAAATATTTCCATTATCATGTTCATTACTACTGTCATAAGTTGTTGGGAGTTGTGATAGTGGCGGCCATGTGTCTTGGGCCCTTCCAGAAGATGCAATTCTTTGGCTCATCACACTCATCTTTGTCTAGCAAAATAACAAGGCAATTCTGCCTATTCTGCTCTTGCAAAGCATAAGGTTTGTAATTACTTTTTGAGAATTGAGACTTCTGAAATAATACTATGCTACAATCACCATGGTCGTAGTTACAACTTTAAATGAATTTATATTCTGAGAGTCACACAGGTAAAACATGTTTCTTAAAAAGCTGCTATGTGTGCCCCATGTTTAAACAGAACAGTATCTTTTATCCTCAGGATTTATTCTAAATATTTATGCTAATTTTAATGGGACTTTGCAGAGATAGAGATATATGGATACATCAGGGGGTGGAGCAGACTTCACCTTAAGGCCTTTGAATAAAATATAATTATGATAAAAATGCATTTCAGAAGCCACAAGATAAAATATGGATATATATCCAAACTTTTCTTTCATTATTTCACACTTAAAAGCTCTTATTTAGTAGAATAACTTTTAAGAAATAAATCAACAATGACTAAAAAAGCTCAAGGATTTTTTTAAATTTCTTTCTAGAGTCTTGGGATTTGTTTTCCTCCAGGCCATATATGTTAAAATGTTATCTTTTTTAAAAAAATAGTAATATTCAATTTAATTCCCATATATTTTGGGTTACAGAAGCTCATGGTCTGATCATAAAGTCTTAAATTTAAATTTCATAATTCAAATATTTGTATTAAAAATGAACAAACCCCCAAATTTAGAGGATTCAGTTTTAACTCTTAGTGTTAGATAAACCTTTATCCCAGCACTTGTACTTATTCTCAAAGCAAGTAGCTGATGCTCTACAATTAATAGACGAATAAAATACTTGATAGTAAGAGCCATGTACAATGATGGTTTCCAAGTAACAATTTATCCATTTCTGAAATCATATTGTCTACAAGACTAAGTGAAGAAAAGACCAAAATCACATTACCTGCCCTAGAAGAGTAGATATAGTTTAATTCCTATTCTCCATTTCAGAGAAATCATGTGTAGAAAACCCTGGCAATGAAACTCTGGAAGAACGCTGTCATGAAAAAATATTCCTTCTATTCCATNCGGATCTAACAAACATGTGGTTGCGTTCAGCCTCCCCAAGACCCTGTCCACGTCCTCGGGAGCAACAGAGTCAAACTCCTCCCATACAACCATCTCAAGACCTGCTTCCGTCTCCTCCCCCTGGGCCAACCAGTCGGAGTCCAAGCCTTCTCGGATCCGAACGACTTTGTCATGCAGATATTGAGCAAAATCCTCGGCCTTGTTTTTGTTTACTCTTTTTAAAATCGTATTACATTTTTTTTCTCATTGTGATATTGTGAGATGCCCAGAATCATTCCAGAATTAGGCTGTGCCTAAATTGAACTAAATTAAATTAAATCTACACTGGAACGGGGGTTCCTACTAGTTCACCAGGTCCTCTTGGTCCTTTTTTTTAATACCATCAATTATATCATCCTTCTGAGTCATCTGGTGGGGTTGGAACTTGGGGGACCTATTTTGTGGTGGTTACAGTCATTTCTGTTGGAACACAATGGCTTTCCCAATGAACTGTAGGAGAATGCAGCAGAAATTGTATAAAAACAAATTAGGTACTAATTATGGAAGCCAGAAAGACAAGTCACCACATACCAGGCATATAAGTGACTATGGATTATTCAGAGTTACCATCAATATTTGATGAGTTCAAGTTATTATTTAACTATGAGGAAGCAATCATGTCCTTAAATATCCCTCAATCTTGCTCATGAACTGGATGAAATATAAGGATTAAGCTTAAATTCAGATTCCACAAAAGAGAAAGCTTGTTATTTCAGAGAGGTTCTTGATCCCCAGATGTCACTGAATTTAAAGAGACAACTGCGATGAAAAAGGAGTTTGCACAGCTAAAACTACTGCACCAATACCAGCCCTCCTTGAGCCAGGAAGACTTGCTGAAAATTATTCATGCCTTGTTTCAATCATCTTCACTGCTGCAACACATTTTATATGGGGCTATTTTTGAAAAATATATGTGAAATTGGTATAATATGGAGCAGAAAGGCTGCTAACCAGAGCAAGGCACAAGGAAGACATCATGTCTATAACAGAAAGAGGTACACCGAGTGCCCACTGCCTATTGAGCACAATTTAAGATGTGGGTACTGGCCTTTAAAGCCTCAAATGGCTTAGCACGAGACCAGTCCTCTCTCTAGGAATTACCCAATTACTTAGATCAGCAGGAGAGGCTATTTTGAAGATGCCCCCGACAGAAGCTTTTTGCTATGCAGGGTACGAAAAACATACTTCTCAGGAAGAGGTGCTTGGGCCCTCACTTCCAGTATTTAGGTAAATGGCCAAAATATATTTTCTTCATCAAGTTTTTAACTGTACATTGAATTTAAATGTATTTATTGTAATTCTGACTTTACTGTTTTTTTTATTTTGTAAACCAAATTAAAAACCAAACACTTTTATAAACAAACAGTGGAGTATTACATTTAAAATTATATCTTTTGTAAAAGGGAGGATCAGTATAGGTAACATTTGTTTTAAACCCAAATATTTAATGCTGAAAGAAAAAAAATAGTCTAACTTAGGTTAACAAGATATCACTATTTAGCTCACGTGGGAGAAAGTTCTAAAAACTAAAAGCAATATAAAGGTTCAAATAGGAGAATAATGTTCTTTTTCTGTGCTGGATTAATTGTTCTGGAAACTCTTTGTCCAATCAGGCAGCTGTGCCACAGTGTGCTATTTTTTAAAAGATTTTCTAGTCTTCAGGATAGTACTTCTGGAGAGCCACTGGATAAAGGGGGAAGGGAAAGGCCTACCTTCAATAAATACAGTTAGTCCTCCACTTACAACCATTCATTTAGTGACCATCTGAAGTTACAACAGCATTGAAAAAAGTGACTAATGAACATTTTTCACATTTTAAAATCATTGCAGCATCCCCGGGGTCACTAAAACTAAAATTTGGATGCTTGACCACTGGCATATATTTATGAGGGTTGCA